CCGGGCCAGATCCTCCTAGTATTGGGGACGAGGCCATGGAAACACCTAGTGCTCGCCCTCAATCGACGACCGCTCTTCCATCCTTGATTTCGTTTCCGACTATAGGCGAACATTATTATTCCCATCTCTCACAACGCCATTATATGTTGGCACAGTAGACGATGCCGTCTGCGATGCTACGCGCCCGCCTTCTAGCCCTGGAATGAGGGTCCTGGGGCCTTCCGCGGAGGCCGCAAGTCGGGAAGGAGGTTATGACTCAGCAGGCGGATTGGGCGTGTCAGGTCCTGACGTGGAGGAGGAAGGGGGAGGGGGAGGGGGTGGTGGTGGACGGTGGGAGTGAGTGAGTAAGTGAGGGGGATGGGACGGGGATGGGATGGGTCATTTATTGGGGGGTACTTGGTGGGTGAAAATGGGGTCTCTGAATAGAGTATAGATTTGGTAGATAATACCAGACATCTTCGCCTGAATCTCTAGCCAGCCCAACGTCATCCAAACAATATGTAAAAGGGGTTGTTCAGCGGTTTATGAGGGTTAGGGTCAGGTGTTGATGCCAAGATCCCCTGACTAAGTTCTGTGCCCCTGTTCAGTGAGCTCATGGCGGCCAGGATCCGGGCGATCGCGGTCCACAGCGCTGACGACCTATGGACCTCAACTGAAAGAAAGCAACGACTCCGCGGACCCGACCGCGTCCCGTCTCAAACCCGACTCTTACACTGTGCATCGCTCTAACGCGAGATGCTACGCCTTAGCAATGCTGAATCAAGCGGCTTGACGAATCCGGCGACCAATTGCCTCTTCGACGAAAGAGTATAACACCAAATCCCCAATCCATAATCCCCGATCCCCTGTTTCCCGCTTCCCGCCCCCATCGATTATCGATTGAAGCCCGGTCGGTCTCCCCCAAACCGGACGGAATCACCAACCCAAGTTCCCAACCATGCCGCCCGACGGCCCCAGCAACAGCTTCAACACTCCCCCCGCCAACCACAACCACAACCACAGCAACAGCAACACAAGCAGCAACATCCGCGTCTTCGTCCGCTGGCACGAGCAAGTCGTCTTCGCCGGCGAAGAGCTCAAGTGCACCATCACCTTCAAGAATGTCGCCCGCCAGCCCACCGCCTCCTCCTCCACCACCCCCTCACCATCCCCCTCCACAACCACAACAAACACCCTAAAACCCTTCCCGCCCAACGCCTCCCACCACCACCGTGGCCCGCGCCAGCCCTCGCCACTACACCCCGCCCGCGCCGCCAAGCATACCACTTCCTCGGGGGGCGGGCTGGCGCCGCCCCCGTCGGGCGGCGCGAGGGGCCATCGCTCCAGCTTGTCGCTTTCGGTGCCGTCTGCTGCGTCGAGGGCGAGGGCGGGGTCCGTGGGTTGGGCGCCTGCGCAGGGTGCCGGTGGTGGTGGTGGTGGTGGTGGGAGGGGGGTGAGGAATGGGGAGGGTGGGAGTGTAGGGGGGAATGGGATGGGGAATGGCAATGGGCATGGGAATGGGAATGGGCACAGGCACAAGCGGTCGGTGTCGATTGTCTCGATTGGCTCGCTGAGTACGGTTGATGATGGGCAGGCTGGTGTTTCGTCTTCGCCGAAGCCGCCGCGGCCGAGGGGACATGCGAGGGCGTCGAGTTTGCAGATATTGCCCCGTGGTGGGCTGCTCAATGGGCCGCGTTCTGGTGAGTTTGGTTGGGGGATGTTAGGGGGGGGGGGGGGGGGGAAGAAGTGCTGACGTTTGTTTTCTTTTCCGCTACGCATCCCAAGGGATCGAGTTCCCAGTCGTCCCCGCTATTCCACGCATCGTACCCGCCGGAACGGAACATCAATGGCCGCCGACCGGGCACGGGGACCGCGCCCGACACCCCGAGAGCCGAGTTCTCCCGCCCATCGCCGGTATCGCCAAATCCACTCGCCCAGTTCAAATTCCCCATGTCCCCCTCGCCAACGACACCCGGGACCGTGGGGGGGCTTGCCAACCAAAACCCGACCAGGCCGACATCAAGTGGATTACCAATGAGGACGAGGGAGCTCGTCCCGACCATAAACCAACAAGGGGTGGCACCGACCGCGAAGATTTTGTCAACACTGAGCATAGCCGGGACACCGAGGAGTAACGGCCAGTTCTATTCTCTCAGCAACAACTCCTCCGAGACATTTGCCTCAGAATATGTGACGCAACCGCCCCAGCGGTCGCAAGTCCGCCCGCCACACAACAGGAGGACGTCGGGCCTTGCTGCGAGCGCCGCGAGACTACCCGAAACGCTGATGATGGGCTATGCTCAGATCCAAGGATCCTTTACGCTGGACGGGTCACTCATAAATATCGGGCCCTTTGAGGCCGTCAAACGGAAAGCTGTCGTGGGCGGCCAGGGCGGCGGCGTTGTCGGGTTGGAGACGCCAAAACGCGATAGCGGGTTGCTGCGCGGGTTCGGATGGGGCAATATCACGAGCTCTATTGGCGAGCTATTGGGCGGCGGCGAACTCAGCAGCATCAAGGAGATGCGCGGGATTGCCAACTCGAAAGCGGTACCCCTACTATCTACGCCGCAGTCTATTTTGTTTGTCGATCTACAACTGGCTCCAGGCGAGAGCAAGGCGTACGAGTACACTTTCAAGCTACCCAAGGGACTACCACCAACGCATCGCGGGAAGGCGATGAAGATATCATACAGCCTTGTCATAGGTACCCAGCGGCCCGGCGGCTCCAAGGAGCAACGGGTCAAGTCCGTGGACGTGCCGTTCCGAGTATTAGGCAGCGTTAACAGCCACGGAGAGATATTAGGCCACGACCTAATGTCCCCATACATCCTCCTGCGGGACCAGGCCCGCGTTCAAACCGTCACCGGCACACAACAGAAAACCAACGGCAAATCGACACCCTCTTCGTCGACAGCCTCTACAATGGCCTCCTTCCTCACCTACGTAGACGACCTACTCTCTCGCCCGCAACACGATCCCAACCAAGCAAGTGGCGCCCTCCTAAGCCCGAGCGCCCCCCTGACCCCCCACTCCCCGACCTCCTCCCGCCGCCCCTCCATCATGTCCGTCTCGGACCATCACCCCTTCATGCCACCGCCCACCGCCAAAGAAGCCATCGATCTCGCGATCCTCCGCTCCAACTTCGCCGGCGGTGGCAGTGGCGGCCCAAGCAACAACCAGTCCCCGAACCGCTTCGAGATCGCCCGCAACGGCCGCCGCGTGGGCGTCGTCATGCTCACGCGGCCCGCCTACCGGCTCGGCGAGACCGTGACGTGCGTCGTCGACTTCCAGGGCGCCGAGGTGCAGTGCTACGCGGTGCACGCCGCGCTGGAAACGGCCGAGAAGGTGGACGCGAGCCTGGCGCTGCGCTCCGAGGCCAGCGTCAACCGCGTCACCCGCAAGGTCTGGGGCAGCGGCAGCGAGGCCGCCCTCTACGCCCGCCGCTGGGTCTTCACCGCCGCCATCCCCGTCGCCGCCACCCCGGAGTTCGTCACCAGCGGCGTGGGCCTCGAGTGGAAGGTCCGGCTGGAGTTTGTCGTGCCGGTGCAAGCCGCCGCGGTGGTCGCGCCCACGCCGCTGGCGTCGCAGGTGCTTTATGAGGAGAGCGGGGATGGGGAGGATGGTGGGGAGGGTGGGAGTGCTGCGGCGGAGGGTGAGGGGATGCTGGAGGGGGAGAGGCGGAGGGAGAAAGAGGCCAAGGCCCAGAAGCAGCAACAGCAGCAGCCGCATCCGTTGCTGGAGGAGATCTCGAGGGATGATCGCGGTGGGCTGGTGCTGGTGGGGGTGGAGAATCTAATGTGTGAGAGCTTTGAGGTGGCCGTGCCGCTGAAGGTATATGGCGCGGCGTGTAATGGGCTGGAGAGGCTGGAGCGGGACGAGGCGATGGATGAGGGGCTGCCTGTGTGAGTAGTGTCGGTTGCTAGGTACGATAGATGCCGGGGTTGAATAGAGTGTGTGGATGTGTGTTACTCAGGTCGGTGGCCACATGACGAGGTTTGTGAAGTTTACGGATATCGATTAACTATCGAGTGTATCTAACGCTGTCCGGTCTACACTAGACCTGGTCAGGGTAGTAAGTGTGCCAACAGATACCTCTGTATGGCCTTGTTACTAGCAACTACTAATGGAGGATTACAGAGACAACTTCAGCCTTCTGCGTCTCCGTGCCATCATTTCTACCTATCTTCGTCTTATCAGCGCTCTCCACCTTCCGTCTTGTTCGTCTTGAGCCACACTCCTAATTCAGGTTCCCATCGATGCCTGCAGACAGTGTGTTAGCAACCCCTACCTACCTTAATCACTCACCTCAAAGAGAAACCTACCCAGCCCACTCGGTAAAAGCCAGGCTGCTCACCCCATACTCCCCGATCAACATGCTGTGGTACCCCCACGGCACCAGCGCGGGCACCCCCTCGAACTCGGTCTCCCGCAGCGGGAACAGCTGCCCCGTCGGGTACTCGTGAAAGTTCTTACAACTCCACACCCCGGGCCGGCCGTCGGGATCCCGCTCCAACAACGCAGTAATATCCACAAACACCCCCGTCTCGACATCAATCCACCGCGCATCAATCACATTCTCACCGCCGCTCCGCCGCGTCTGCGTCGCGAACGCGTTCACATCAAGGAAATACTCCCGCTGACGCACACGGCGCCGCCGCCGTCCCTCCCCTTCTCGCACCACATCCTCATCATAATACTCATACTCATCAAAATACTCATACTCCTCCTCATGATAAACAAACCGACTCTGATTCCACCCCCTCGCCACCAACCAGCCCAGCGTCGCCCCGCTGACCTGCGCGTCCACGTCCCCGTCCCACGGCAGGATCCGCCCGCTCCACCACCACCCCAGCAGCGTGCCGTGGGCGAGCCAGGTCGGGAGGCCGTGGGAGGAGAAGGTGGTGAGATAGGAGCGGATCAGGTGGGTTAGGGTTGTGCGGTCTGTTTGGGGGAGTTATTACGTTATCCCGAGGGGGGGGGTTTGGGGATTGAGGTGGGGGGAGGGGGGGGTTGGCGTACGTTTGTTGTGGGGGATGTGGCCTTGGTAAAAGCGGGCGTCGTAGTCTGTGCGGGTGTGTTAGTTGGGAGATTGGAATTGGGGGTGGGGGGAGGTGCTGTACGGGCTAGGACGAGGTTGTCGCCGGCTTCGTGAAAGTATTTGTACTCTAAAGCCGGTTCTGGTGGCGAACGGTACTGCGAAGGCGGCGGTTGCCTTCCGGGCGAGCTGTGCTTCTTGTCCTGCTGGGCATACAGTAGTAGGGGCTCGCCACCCCCTCTCCCCACGGCAGCAGTGCTGATGAGGATGGAGAGGCCGAAGAGGGCGGTCAGCAAAAAGGTGAGCTTCTTCGTAGAAAGGTAAGCTGAGATGGCTCTCATGGTTGGTTTGGGTGACGCGATTGAAAGGCTTAGATGATAGTTAGGCTGGCAAATAACGTCCGGCCGTTGAATGTACGGAATGGCGACGACAATGAATGCTAGTAGTTAATTCTGGATGGCCACGGCTTGGATAGACTATAGGGGGGGCGTGCGATACGCGATGCGGTAACTGGTGGCTTGTCTGAATGTTGTTGAAAGGTTTTAGGATGCCTCGGCCAAACAGGGACCTGGGGGCCTAGATTTAGAGGAAGTTCTCAGAATCTAGGCACCTCTGCACGTGTCAAGGCCTCAGACCTTGCGTCTGGGAGCGGTCCGAGCGATGTATCTGGTCACATGGCGGTTCACCTGACCCATGGTATTTGCATCCCCGACGGTCTAACAGAAGAAGGGGGCCACATGCCCAGATGATTCGAAGTTAGAAGGGAACCCGAATGGTCTTGGTGGCCGGGATAGCCCATTGTTAAGAAGTTGTGTCTGAGCGCAGTTGTAAGCATTTCATAGAGTCTGGGGACACTGTCACGGGTACTGACTTTGACTTATCGAACTCGACCCTGAATCATCTTTAACAGGTTCCTCAATGCCGAATTACCGCAGTTTCAACATCTTCTCGCAGCAGAATTCTGCCGTTGTTTGCTCTCGACTCAGCATGGCATCTTACTTACGTACCTATTCGACAACGTTGAACACAGGTACTCGAGTTGGATGGTATGCCCTTAGGAAAATCACGGTCTCCTATTAACGTTGAGTTGTAATTACTATCTAACCAACTGATGCATGAATAAAAGGGGGTATATAACAAAACACAACCTGCACCCTCCCCCCAAACCAGCCCACCTCATTATTAAATACCCACAACACCACACCCGCACACCACCACCCACCCACCCCCCTCACTTCCCCAACGTCCCAAACGGACTCACATCCGTACCATCCCTCAACCACCGATCCAAAGTCGGCACACTCCCACTCGACGCCCTCTGCCCCACCCCACCTGCCGATGTCACCGCCGCCGTTGGATTAGTGGGATTGGTAGCTTTGGGGCTGGGAAAAAGGCTGAATTTACCACCACCCCCTGCGGCGGCGGCTGCTGCTGCTGCTGTTTGTGCTGTGGTTCTTGGTGGGGGTGGGTTGCCGAGTTGGAATTTGGGCGGGGGGTCTCGCGTCGTGGTGGTGGTGTTGATGGTGGATTTGCGGGGGCCGTAGTAGCTGACTGCGTAGCCGACGCCCTTTCTGGGTATTGATGTGGCGGTTGCTGCTGGCTGCTTGAGATCGGAGGGGAAGCGGAAGCCGGCGTCGTCGGTGCTGTAGGTACTGCTGCGGCCGTCGTCGCTGGTGGAGTAGTCCTTTTTAGAGGAGGAGATTGAGTATGCTTTGTTGGAGGTGCCGGTCAGCTGGGGGTAGCCGATGTTGCCGTTGATGCCACTCTCGCCGCCCCCGCGACCGAGGCGCCGGCGCTTGTTGTTGCGCTTTCTGCGGAGGACGAGCACGAACACTATGCCTGTGAGCAGCGACGAGCCGATGATGCCGCCTACTACTGCCAAGGCCGTTTGCGTCACGGAGAGCGCGGCGCCTTGGGCTTGTTGGATTTGTGTATTGGCTTGGTCCTGGGATTTGGTTAGCCACTTCATGCCAACATATCGTATATGCAGCAGTAGACCTACCCGCAGAGCCGTGGCATCGGCTTGTGCCTTTTGCGCCACGCTCGCCGCCGATCTTGACGCATCCGCTGCACTCTGGCTAGCCAGCCGAAGAGCACTCGAGAAGCTCGCGCCCATGGAGCTGGTCAGGCTCGCCATATTCTCGGATAATGCACGACTGGCGCTCTGCGATGCTGATTGAATCGCCTGCGAGATGGCACGGTCTGCACTGGCCCTTGCCTCGTCCCCCCGCCGCGACGCCTCCGCCGAGGCCTGCGACATTGACCGCGAAGCCGATTCGGCGTTGCCCTGCTGTAGGCGGGCGCTCGCCAGCTGCTGCTCCGTTTGGCTGAGCCGTTGGGTGGCCTGCTGCAGCGACTGGCTAAGCTGCTGGCTGGACTGGCTCACTTGCTGGCTCGCCTGGCTGACGGATCGGAACTGGTTGCTGACCTGTTCCAGCTGGCTGCTGAGCGCTTGGATCTGCCCCTGGTCTTGCCGTGCTAAAAGTGACGGGGGCGGCGTGATCATGGCTTCGCACCCGCCCCGGACCACATGGGCCGGCTCGGCGGGCGGCGACCGGGGATGCGGGACACTCCGACCCTCCACCTCACCCGGTATCCTCCTCCATACCGGCTCGGGCCCTCCCGCCCCTCCGATGACGGCCTCCTTCCCATTAACCGGTACCACCACCGGAACCGGCTCGTATGCTACCCCATTACCGACCCAAGCACAGCTCGAGCATATTAGAAAGAGAAGCGAAAGACGCGGGAATAACAACGGCTTCCTGGCCATGGCGCGCGAGAATCATAAAAGAAGCCAATAACCAAACAACTGAGTATTACCGCCGGCGGCAGAATCGAAGGAGAGTAGCACGAGGGACGGCGGACCTGGCGATCATCCTTTCAGCCAGAAGGACTGACGGGTGTGGGAAGGGAGGGAAAGGGTGGATGGGGAATTAGCCAAAACGGGAGAAGAGAGAGAGAGGGAGAGGACAGAAACAAACAGAGGCGGGCAGTGGGAGGGTAAAAGAAGAAATGTTTGCATAGCTTTCTCCCGACTCGTCGTTTAGAGGATCAGAAGCTGGAACCAGGTTTACTATGCCATACTGCCCAACAAGGACCGGAAACAAACTCGCAACCGAGCAGTGGCAGATCATCGAGGGGGGAGAGTAGAACCGGCGTGAGCAGGAGACGGTAACAACCCCCCACGCTATCATGCCTTGATGCTGGCCGGCTATCACGACAGTCGGCACTGCGTAGCTCCCTGGTAGCAGCCACCAAGAGGCACCAAGACGCCCCGGCCCGTCATCCCATCAGACACCAACCAGACGAAACCCCCGAGAAAAGCCACAGCCGTTGGCATCCAAGTCCAGCCAAGCCCAGTCGACCCCGGAGCCTGGCGCAGATCGCGCCGGAGGCACACCGCACCGGGGCGCACGGATGTCCCGGGGTCGGCCGAATCGGGAGGTGCCGGGGTGACCTGAGACGGATGGGCGCGGGGGTGTTAATGCTTCTCGCTTGACCTCAAACAGCAAATGGGCTGGTTTTATGCTTGGGTGCTGCCTTTCCCGGGTTTCCACTAAAAAAAGACGGGAACAATAGGGTTTCCGGGCTCTGGTTCTGCTTTCTTCTGGTCGGTGCGTCTCAGATGGGTGCTCGTTACCGGTGTTGGTGTGCTGTGTTGGAAGATGGTGCCATCCACTTAGACCACTCGGCAGCTACTTCACCCGCCGATTGGGGTTGGGTCGAGTAAGCTCTTGTCTTGGCTGTTCCAGACATTTCTTATCGGCCTCGTCAACACCGACATAGGCCATTCATTGAGAAGGAAATCCCCCCTTTTTCATGACCAACCTCACACTCCCAATCCTACGGGCACCAGCCCCCTTGGAAATAACACGCACATTCCCAATTTTTACACACAAAAACTGTTATCTATATACACCGAAGACAGTTCAAAACACAGTATCCGAGCCCATAGCCGCCGCCGCCGCCGTCACCTCCAAGTCCGACGGAATAATAACCAGCCAACATCTCCGAACGCCAGACATGCAGGTCCGTCTTTTCCATTCCCCAACAACAATGGAAAACAGTTTGTCAGACCGGACGGCCTGGCCCGATTCGCCGCCGCCGCCAGCCCAGCTTGTCGTAATTATGACATTGTCCCACCCACCCATCCGTGTCATTCATCACACATTTTACCCTTCACCCCATACTATACCACACCACACCAAATCACCAGACACAACAAAGACCAGGCGAGGGTGTCAGCTTGCACCCAGGAGTTTCTTGATTCTCACATCCTAGTCCCACTCCCTATCCTCCCAAAATCCCACACGACCCGACCGCCTTTAAACTGGCAGCTTAAACTTCTCGCCCTTCATGACCTTGGTGTAATAGATCCAAAAGAAATCGCTATACAGTAGCGTCTGCATAACACCGGCTACGACAGCGACGGTGTCAATCTTGTGGGTGGTCTCGGTCATGTAGCGGTAGATCCAGTTGGGGATGTACAGGGCGCGGTAGGTGCCGAGGGCGAAGAGGTAGTGGGCGGTGATGGCCTCGGCCTCGCCCGTGCGCTGCAGCATGAACAGCTGCGGCAGAATGGCCACGCTCTCCAGCCAGATGGAGAAGGCCCAGAACACCTCGAGCACCGTGTACCGCACGGGGAAGAGCAGCGCGAGCGCCACCGCGAATCCGAGGAGGTATTCCACGCGGAAGGTGTCCAGGTTGGCGTCGTTGGTCGGCTTGTACTCGCGCGCCATCAGGTAGATGGTGTAGAACTGCGAGCAGATGAAGAGGATCTTGAAGATGAAGTTGTACGGCGAGTGTGTCCATGGGAGATCTGCGGGGGCGGGGTTGTGGTGGTTAGTGGCATGGCTGCTGATGCGACGACTCGCCATTGAACACTGAGGAGGGTGTGGGAGGAGGCATACCTAGGTATCTTGTGACGTAGACAATCAGGTATAGGACCTGAGACTTGAATGAAATGCCGGAGCAGCTCTGCGCAATTGGGTGTTAGCATCCCTAGGGAGATGGCAATGCGACAATGGCAACAATGCGCACCTTGAGCTGGATAATCTTATGCAGTAGGATAAAGATGGATGCCAGATGGGAGAAATCCCCTAGGAAAGCCAATGTCAGCCCCTCTTGATTCTCCCCACATCACCCCTCCCCAGAGGCATCCATACCGGCCACGCGAAAGAGGTTGAGCACCATCTTGAAGCAGCGCTATCTCTCTCGGTTCGCCCCCAGGCGCACAACGTAAACTCGATAGCTTCGGGATCGCAGTGTCGGGCTGCCGCAGCAGAGCAGCTATCGGATTGGCTATCAAGTAGCCAGCCTGGGACTTTGTTTGGCAGTTGCGATAATTGGGTCGGGCGGGATTCGTCGTTGGTCGGTCATGGAATTCGAGGTTTCGGTTTCCAACAACAGCTGGCCTTGCTTGTTGGGGACACGGTCGCGCCTTTCAACGGCACGGCAGTTTGATGCAGCTGTAACTTGTAGGAAACGGCCCCACAGACAGCTGTTGGCGAATCAAGAGTTCGGAAATCGCCAGGTGGCTCGAGGACACCGAGGGTATATCAGGGTTAGGGTGCGTTTCAACTCCGGCAGCCAGATGGGTGTATACAATGCCATGCAACTCTAGCCGAGCTTGGGTTCAGTGTCGCCTTCAAACGTTACAAGGCATATCAGTAGTAAACAAAGGTTCTGGCCTGTTAACCATTGGGATGTCATGCAATTGTATTCTGCTCAACTCCTGGCACCCACCTCAAACGCCTAATCCAACGAGCCCCTTCACATATCTATGCTCATCAAATACATCTCAAATATCCTCATAAACTTGGCCACAAACGCTTCAAGATGGAAAATCACCTTTGTGCCTGTCCGAATCCTGTGCTCGAAGAAGGCGGCCCACTTGATGACATCCGCCTTGAGCGCATCATCAATGAGTGGGATCAACTTGAAGGTGAGCGTCCTCAGGATCGTGGTTGCGGGGATGCAGTGTGTCAACAAATCGTACAACTTCGATCGGACCTGCAGGATTCGGGCTGGTGTGTGCTCCTCCATGATCTCCTTGGCGATCTGACCGATGAGCGCCTCCCAATCTGGGGGCGGTATTGGTGTGGTGTCTGTGACTTTCTCGCTGCAAGGCAGACGAGTTAGTATCACACAGTCTTACAATTGCCGGAGTATCAGGGGTGACTTACTTCTGTGCGTGTACCGCCTCAAACATCAGGAGCGCCTTGCGCAGGTTCCGTCCGCTCTCTTTGGCAATCCTCTGATGCAGGCCCTTCACCACCGGCCACCCCTCCTTCTTCGCCGACGCAGCCAGCACATCACTGATCTCATCCTGTGTCGGGGCCGCAACCCGGACAAGCAGGGTACGCGATCGGATAGGTGCGATGATGTTCGCAGTAGAATTGGCAAGGAGGATGAGCCGCAGGTTGGGCGAGTATTTCTCCATCGTCCGACGCAGCGCTGCCTGAGCATCTCTGCTAAGGTGGTCGGCCTCGTTGATCACAACCACCTTGAACTTCTGTCTCGCCGACTGGTCGACTTGCTGTGTCTGCGCAACCTCCTTGAGCAAGTCCTGCACGACAACCCGGTCGTAGCTGCCGACATCGGAGGGTGTAATTTCGAGGTGGTAGATGGAGGCAACGATATTGAACTCGAGCTTGCGGTTGCTGCTTGTTTGGAAAACACGCGCATCGATCTTGATCTTCTCAACACCGGGCCCAAATAGCTCTTTTAATGTTGCAACAATTCTTGTCTTCTTGCCTGCACCCGATGGGCCGTATACGAGGAGGTGGGGGAAGTCGCCGCTTTGCGCCTACAAATGGTTAGCTGCTGGCTTTCACATGTTAATAAATTCGTCTTACCAGAGAGCGCAATCGTTCCGAGAGCTCCTCATGGTATGTGAGGGCATCTAGAGACCTAGGCCGGTGCTTGTCGACAATGAGCGCCATTTTAGAGTTGTTGTTGTCAGGAGATTGTAGGAATTGTTCAACAGGTAAGAGCGGACTCGAGGAAGACGCGTCTGGGTGACGCGACGTGCAGGAGTCGCCAAAAATCAATTAAGCGGTTGCAGGGGGTGCACGGGCCATACTAGGCAGGCATCCGAGGGGCGAGAACACAAAACCGAATAGGAAGCTTTCTTTTCGTGTAAAGCCGATATGTTGCTACTGTCCGTATTGGCCAGGTCTTTTCTGACTTTCAAAAATACAAGCAACAGCCCTCACAAGATGGGATAGAAACTTAACTACCTTGGTCAACGGCCAAGCAAGTTCAACAGTTGATACGGACATTGTAGGTTATGTCTTGTGCTCCATGGCACTCATAAATCAAGTGGAGAAGAACACAGGTGCTTCGTATACCTGAGGTTACAGCTCTGTGTCAAGAACACATGAACCCAGCACATGGACAGTTGTGTTAGTCTACATATTATACAACAGAAAAAGCATAGCCCGACGGTTACGAAGGAGGGGGTGCCGAGGGCGACGTTTCCGTAGTCGGTGGTGTGGGCGTAGCTGCCTCTGCAGGGAGCTTCTTCCATGGCTGTCTTAAGTCATCCAGGGTGATACCATCCAACTTTGTGATTCCAACAACAGCCGGATCCCCCTTCTTGACGAACTCATATTGCCCTAGAAAACGGTTAGCAGATGCAAATTGATGCTGGTAGAGATTCAGTACCTGGCAACTTGTTCCCCGCAAGGCGGAAGGCATCCCGGATGACCTGCTCGTGCAAGATTCCCTTGATCTCGAAAACGACCTGGTTGATGGCAATCCTAGCGGCCCAGTGGTCGAACGAACCCTTTCCTTTACCCATTCTCATCTTTGCACCAGCTAGTGTCAGTGAATTGCCAAGCTCCATAGTACACCCTAGACATAGACATACCTCGTTTCCGCTGACGAACACACCAACGTTGCAAGCAACCCTCTTGTACAGCCGATATTTCTGGCCACGCAACCGCTGCTTGATGGTGTCCTCGGCCATCTTGAGATGCTTGGCGCTGATTCTGCGGTGGTGGTCGCACATGCGCAAGCCGTAATCGCCCCAAACCACTGTTGTGCCTTTTGTTGACCCGCCCGTCGGCACTCTGGGCCTGCCCTTCATCATCTTCTTCTTTCGTGGGAGGTTGGGTTCCAGCCATGACCCCGCCTGGATCGCAGTCGCCGAAAATAGCCTGGCATGTTGGGGAGTGAGGGTGGATGCAACGGGTACCGAGGGTCGCAGGATGGCCGTCGGGGGGAGGGAAGCTCGGAGTGGTGTCGCAGGCCCTATCCTTAGTGCCTGAAAGGCACTGAGGAGCCCCGATGAAGCGTTTGGCCTCATGGCGATCGAATTGGCTAAGGTGGTCGGCCTTGACGATTTGGCTGGGGGTATCTCCAGCGCCGAAAAAAGGCCCCAAGCAATCGCATCGGAGAAACTGCGGGAGAGCGGTTGAACTTTAGACACCGGTACAATGATATTCTCTTAAACGGTCACTTTGAGCATGTCACGCTCTAGCGCGCTGTATGCCAAGACCAAGTTCGACCGCGTCGCCCTTTGAATTACAGCGCGTCTGCAGCTCCAAGTCTCACGACCAATGTTCCAGGCTTCCGTCATCTGCCTGGACCCCAACGGCAATACAAATCAAAAGGAGGAAGGGTGCATAAATGCGCATTTGCGCTCCTTCTCTCCTCTAATTTTCCCTCTAAATTACTCGAATTAACGACAAGATCTATTACATCGCCCACCATGCCAGACATTCGCAACTTCTTCACTTCCAAGAGCGGTGCTCCCCCGCCGAAACCTGCAGCCAAGAAGGAGGAAGAGCCAAAAAAGGCCCGCGGTAGTGCGTGTGCTCAAACATGCGTTTTTCGATGATATGGCGTTCTAATCGATTTTAGAAGGACGTAAGGTGATTGAAGACAGCGACGAAGACGAGGTTGTCGAGTAAGTACATGGCGTCGTCCAAAATTTCCAATGGCTAACAGACATTATAGGACGAAGAAGCCGACCAGGTCCACACCTCGCAAGAAGGCAGCGTGAGTTGTGCTAGTTGGACTCTGGCCCGCTTTTCATTCTTAACCATAAGTAGAGCCCGTACCGAGGTGGATGGCGAAGAAACCACTGCTGCCAAATACTTTGCGTCGTCCAAACCGAAGCCCGATACCACAAATACCACCCCAAAGCCTGCATCCAAGACCCGTCTGACCCCTGGCGTCGAAGTCCGCGTGAGCCCCCGAACCAAACCAGCGGCAGCAAAACTAGTACCGGAACCAGCCAAGAAGAAGCCCATTACCGCTTACAAGAAGCACGATCGGGACGATGACGATGCCTTTTTGGACGACGATGAGGATGCCGGGGATGACATTTTCGCAGCGGATGTGAAGGGTGGCAACAAACGAAAGAACGACGAGTATGTCGAAGAAGACAGCGAGGAAGACTTCCTTCCCAAGCCCAAGCGAGTAGCTTCTCGAGCCGGTAAGCCTGTCAGGGCTGAATCCGACCAGGAAGCTGAGCCGACCCCAAAAACGACAGCCAAGAAAGGGCCGGCCAGGAAACGCAAAACCCCGACTTCGGACAGTGAGGAGGACGAGGAGGATATCAAGCCCGCAAAGAAGGCCGCCCCGGCCAAACCACGTGCCCCAAGGGCCAAGAAACAGCCCGAGCCCGAGGCCGACGATATCAAGGCCATTCTCGATAACCTTCCCACCGTCCAAGCACCTGACGCTCCGGCGCCTGACCCGACCGCCAAGTTTGACTGGCGGAAAGCGGGGCCAGGGGGCGGGAATTCCGGTCCGCCGCCAATGGCCGGCGCTGTCGATATCCCCGAAGGCGAGGACGACTGTCTTGTGGGTAAAAGCTTTGTTTTTACCGGCCTTCTCAAAACTATCAGCCGTGAAGAAGGACAAGCCCTTGTTAAGCGTTATGGCGGCAAGGTCACAGGCGCACCAAGTAGCAAAACCGATTTTGTTGTCCTTGGAGACGATGCTGGCCCCAGCAAACTCCGGAAGATCAAGGAGCACGGGATTAAAACGATTGACGAGGAGGGCTTGTTCTACCTCATCAAAACGATGCCTGCGCACGGCGGTAGTGGCAAGGGCGCCGAGAAGGCCAAACAAAAGCAGGAGGCAGAAGAGAAAAAGATTCGAGACGAAGCAGCCCGGATGGAGAAGGAAGAACAAGCTCGCAAGGCAGAGGCTGAGAAGGCAGCGAAGAAAGCCGCTGCAGCGCGCGGAGCCCCCCCCCCTGCGCCAACTCGGGTATTATCCCAGCTGTGGACAACCAAGTACGCACCCACGCAGCTTAACCAGATCTGCGGCAACAAGGCGAACGTCGAGCGGATCCAGGGCTGGCTTGACAAATGGGCGATGCACCGCAAGTATAACTTCCAGAAAAGGGGTGCGGATGGCATGGGCGGCTACAGGGCCATCATTATCTCTGGACCACCCGGTATTGGTAAAACAACGGCTGCCCACCTCGCGGCCAAGCTCGCAGGATATGACGTGCTCGAGAGCAACGCTAGCGACACACGCAGCAAGAAGCTTGTTGAGAACGGCGTCAGCGATGTGCTCAATAACACGTCGCTGATGGGCTACTTTGCAGCCGACGGCAAGCAAATCGACGCTGGAAAGAAGAAGATTGTCCTCGTCATGGACGAGGTTGACGGCATGTCTGCCGGTGATCGCGGCGGCGTTGGGGCCCTTGCTAAGTTCTGCAAGAAGACCGAGGTACCCCTAATTCTAATCTGCAACGAGCGCAGGTTGCCCAAGATGAAACCTTTCGATCACGTTGCCTTCGATGTCAAATTCCAACGCCCGACGGTCGACCAGATCCGGTCCCGGATCATGACCATCTGTCATCGGGAAGGTCTGAAGATGCCGCCTCAGGTTATCAACGCACTCATCGAAGGGAGCGGCAAGGACATCCGCCAGATAATCAACATGTTATCCACCGCCAAGCTCGATCAGACAACCATGGACTTCGACCAAAGCAAGGCGATGACCAAGGCCTGGGAGAAGCACGTTGTCTTGAAGCCTTGGGACATCTGCCAGAAGATGATTGGAGGAGGTCTTTTTGGCCCGGCCAGCAAGGCGACGTTAAACGACAAGATCGAGCTCTACTTCCACGACCACGAATTCAGCTTTTTGATGATTCAAGAAAACTACCTGCGGTCGAAGCCGGCGGCACTAACCGGGAAGAACTACAATGCCAGGGCGGCACTAACCGGGAAGAACTACAATGCCAGGATTCAGAACCTCAAGTACCTCGAGCTTGTTGATCAGGCAGCTGAGAGCATCAGTGACGGAGATCTAGTCGACCGCATGATCCACGGTCCGCAGCAGCACTGGAGCCTGATGCCCACACACGCAGTCTTCAGCACTGTCAGGCCAGCAAGCTTCATCGCCGGTATGTTCACCGGTCAGACCGCATTCACATCATGGCTTGGCAACAACAGCAAGACTGGAAAGCTCGGTCGCTTCGTCCGCGAAATCCAATCCCATATGCGTCTCAGGACGTCGGGCGATCACAACGAGATCCGGCAACAGTATCTGCCTGTGCTCTGGCACCAGCTGGTCAAACGGTTGGAGGCCGAGGGCAAGGATGTCGTCCCAGACGTCATCGAGCTCATGGACAGCTACTACCTCACCCGAGAGGACTTTGATAGTATCAAAGAACTCGGTGTGGGGTACCAGTCGGAGGACTTGATTAACATTGACACGCAGACCAAGTCGACATTCACCCGGATGTATGTTGCTCATATTCCTACTCATGACCGCTGTGACAAGACTAACTTGTTTCCAGGTACAACGCGGCATCGCATCCTGTGCCCTTCATGAAAGCTAGCAACATGGACGTGGCCGTGGCCGCGAAGAAGACTGACAAGGATGTGCCCGACTTGGAGGAGGCTATTGAGGAAGAGGACGAGAACGACGTTGCCGAACCCGCTGAAGTTGACGAGGAAGAAGAACTCGACCTCAAGAAGGACAAGTACATCAAGCAGCCCAAGGCCAAGGGCGGGAAAAAGACAGTTAAGAAGCCGGCCAAAGCTGCGGATGACGACGACGAGGATGGCGGCAGCAGTAAGCCGTCGAAAGCCAAGGCGAAGCCGGCGGCTAAGGGCAGAGGACGACCGAAGAAAGCTTAGTAGGACCCGTGGTGCTCCTGAGCAAGGGCAGGAGTTGGACTCATGCAGCAATTATAGAGCCGTTTACACATTTAGCTAGCTGTGGAAGGAGCTTTGAGAAATGGAGCGACATCGCTTTTTAAGTTATCCTCAGCTAGTCACACATCGAAGCAGAAGTAAGCTCGTCCAGTCTATGTACCCGTGCTCTTACTCGGGGAACTGCCGGTTGGCGAGTGCTCTTCTGGAAACCATTCATTAGGCCCGAGACACGAGTTATGGCGGTTATATTGCATGCTAAATGCCAGCGTTGTTGCTGTGAACCCCTTGCTGCTGCTCAACCAGGTTACCAAGCCAATGCTTTGCACCAGGCCACCCACACCCCAATTTACAGAACACTAGTTAGCAGAGAGAGAGATGCTTAACTAGCAATCAGAGACGCAGCATTGACAAATACTCAAACATGCAGTTTGTATTTACCCTGCAATGAACAGCATGGGCAGCTATTTACAATCGGCTATCGTAACCCCTGAAATTGTCCTTGGTGTCTCCATCCCCAATGTCAACAATATAGTCCCCTGGACGCAATGTGAAACCAAGAAGGTTAATGTTGCCCTATCCAAATACAAGAGCTATGATAGAATTTACGAGAAAACTACTTGATATTCTCACTGGCAATTTCGGGACATGCCCGCCTCTACCGAGTTCGAATTGCTTGCCATTACCATCACGGTGGTGTTGTGCCTTGTTTTGGGACAACGTGCAAGTGTAGTCAGGCATATATGTCCGTGATTTCACATGAGAGACCAAATACCAAATAGCTGGCTTCTGTTTTTTGTTTTTTTTTAAAGGAAAAAGGGGTTTCCTTAGCCAAGGAAAACCCGCAGTGTGACCGAGTGTGCCAAGAAACTGAAGTGACTCGAGTGATCAGCCGAGGCGAGACGGAAGAAGAGAGGAGAAATTGAGGGAATATCGGTTCTAGTTTGAGAGAAAAGTTTGGGTAATGTGCGTTGAATGCTGGGTTGATTTGTTCATTGTAATCTTTCTCACGCAAAGAATCCACCAAGTATGCAAAGTAAAATCGCCGCCAACCACCCCCATCATCTGCATTAGTAGCGTAATCTTTGTGCGTGTCCGAGGCTCTATAAATCCGTCCGAGAGCAACCCGTCATCTCTATCCCTTTTTTTCCGCATTCCATATGCTAAGCAGGTTTGAACCGATCATCATGAGAGGACGCATTATACATCCGGAGACCAGAAAACAAGAAACGCCCGGCCTGCCCTCGGTACCCAAGATAACGTGGCACTGTGGCGAAGAAATTCCAAGAGTGGTAGTAGTACAGGGGAGGAACAGCCCTCCCGGAGAGTGAAGTTTGGGGGATCGAAAGCGCCGCTTAGGTGTTCTTGACGACCACCCACTTTGGCGGGCCTGAGGACGCGGCCGTTGGAGCTTAAAGCCCTTCTCCTGGGTGTTGGAAGACGGTGTTGTGTTCCTTGTCCTGCATGGGAGTCATGAAGGTGGCCTCATGCTCGTTGGGATTGAACACCTCGCCGTTGGGGTCGAAGCGCTCGAGGCCGTGTTTCTTGAGCGTCGACAACAGGATGTTTTCTGTCATCTTGAGGCCGTCGTACAAGTTGACTAGGTCCTGAGTGTGTTCCGTCTTGTTCTCAGGCTTGAGCTTCTCCTGGGGTACCATGGTCAAGGCACGGTCGAAGTTATCGACCGATTCGACCAAGTCCTTGGCGAACTTCTGGATGGCGAAGTCCCGCGCCGCCTTCATGTCGCGCTGTGTCCGGTCTTGCAGGTTGCGGAAGTCGGCCACGGAGCGGAGGTAGCGGTCCTGGGAAGCTGACGTATCAGTATGACAGCCGCTGATAATGGGTGTAGAACCGAGTAGCTTACCTTGAGGTCGCGGACCTCGGCATCCTTCGTCTCTAATTGCTTCTTTAGAGCGGCCTCAGGGCTCTCGGCCTCGACGTTCTCCTTCCCCTCCTCTCCATTCTTTTTTGCGGCATCCGTTTCGGAGCTGTACCACCTTGTCCTCGAAATGGCGAGTGGTGTCTGGTAGTAGGATTGGGCAATCGCAATGGTTTGCCTCTGGGTGCCGAGTCTGGCAGTGGAGCGAAGGGCTCTGGAGGTGGCCGAAACGGTTTGTCGTAGCATGGTTGTGAATGTGCTGGGAATCTGCTGCTCCTGAAATCAAGGGTCCGTCGCTCAATGTTCAAACTTCAAAGTCGCGTGTTGCTCAAGAAATTTTATGGGGGCGAGGTAGCCGGCTTGGCTCCAGGCCCTTTGGCCGACCGGAGCTCAACTTTGCAGGCGGATCATTGACGGGCCGCCACAATTGTGTCGAGGCCCGCCGAGGGGCTGAAGCTCAAGTTCTGTGGCGGATGCAAGAATGCGAGTTCCTGAACCCACTCCTGTCATTTGTGGGAGTGAGCCGCTATATTCACCCCACTGCAACGAGGGGTGGCCCCATGTGATACGCCGTGCTTTGTTCCCAGGCCATATGCATTTCTGCCACCGCCCTTAGCTCACTCACGCGTCCGCCTTCGCATTCGCAAACATCAAACTTGCACCTCACTCCTCACAAATTCCCTCCTCGCAGCACTATATCTATCGGCGCACATTCAAAAGTTCAAAATTTCGGCAGTTACAAGTAACAGCAACATGGACTACGACCCGATGGTGATGGACGACGCCGAGGCGCTGGGCCCGGTTGTCAAGATTTCTCAAGTATGTCTTTGTCGCATTATCGACTCCGTCCCCGCTTTCGATCTTGGGGAAACAATGTGATCTAAACGAGATCGCGAAAACCCAGGCAGACCCGATCCGTGTCAAGTTCGAGCTCTCGAATGCGGATATCGCCTTCGCAAACTCCCTCCGCCGCGTTATGCTCGGCGAGATCCCCACCATTGCGATCGACCTTGTGGAAATCGAAGAAAACAGCTCCGTACTAGCCGACGAGTTTATCGCCCACCGCCTCGGACTTATCCCGCTAAATGCTGATGGTGTTGAGGGGTTGCTGTTCGCGAGGGATTGCGACTGCGACGGTTGCTGCGAACACTGCAGTGTCAGGCTCACCCTTCACGCCAAATGCACCGGAGACGAAAACATGCATGTATTCGCTCGGGACTTGGTACCGACGGGTGAGCGAATCAATCAGGTCCTTGGTACCCCTGTGGTCTCAGATTCCGAAGGACTCGGCGCTCTCATTTTAAAGCTCCGGCCGGGTCAAGAAATCAAGCTCGAGTGCATCGCAAAAAAAGGCATTGCGAAGGAGCACGCGAAGTGGGCGCCATCGGCGGCCATCGGGTTTGAGTACGACCCTCACAACAAGCTTCGCCACACGGATTTCTGGTACGAGACGGATGCTAAGACAGAATGGTGAGCCCATCCTTCCCAACGATCCCTCTTTACACTGGCTGGCTTACACAACACAGGCCCCCAAGCGAGTACGCCGCGTGGGAGGAGCCCCCTCAGGAGGGTGAGCCGTTCGACTACGATGCCGTCCCGAACCGATTTTACTTCAACGTCGAGAGCGCCGGGAATCTCCCGCCCGATACGATCGTCAGCGAGGGCATCAAGGTCATTCAACAGAAGCTTGCCGGGCTCATCCATGAGCTTGCCGATGAGGGCGGAGATGGAATGAACGGCGACTATAACGGTCCCCGGAGCCCAGAGTACGGCACCGGGGCTGACGGCTTTGGTGGGGGGTATACGACACCCTTTGGGAACGGTGGCTCTTGGGGCGGGGCCGGCGGGGCTGGCGGGACAACGCCGTATGGGGCGACACCTTACGGTGGAGGCCAAAACAGCTGGTCGTGAGCGGCTAAGGGTTCTGCCGCCAGCACACTCTCGTCTCAAGCCCACCAACCGCTTGTGTGTGGCCGCCCTTAGCCACTGCGGATTGTAACGGCCCTACTCGAGCTTACGTACGCGAGATGGGCTCTTATTAATACGGACGCCCGCCCGGGATTGGGCCACTCGTCTACCATCCACTAGCAACATAACAACACGCAGCCCATCGAACACTCGCCATCCAATGCGTTTAATTTCCAGAGGCTCATGGTAACACAGCCCGCCTATTTCAGGTTGCATGACATGGATATCTCAGCCGGAGTTTGGGGGAGCGGGAAAGCAGAGGGGAATTTGGATCTTTTACATTCCGGAAGGCAATTGCTCTACCATACAAGCTCTCTAGCTCTCTAATCAACCAACAATGCGGGTATAGAGAAAAAGGAAAAGGAGAAGGAAATATACAAGGGTGGCAATAAGCTGGACAGAAGATACCACCAAACACGGTTTTATCCAACGCCGGTGCCTGCAATGCTTCTATACCCTCTAGAAAACACATCAAACGCCACCGCTGTCTCTATGGTTGCCTGCCCATGACGGTGTATAATGCTCGTATGCACTCGATGGTCGTCGATAATAACTAGCGTATCCAATCGTAACTCGTACCACCGCCGTATCATGGGTCAAGCCGCTCGTTACTCGGTTTCATACCGGTTCCTCTATGCCGTTGATCTTTCTATAAACCTTGCGGTGCGACTCTAAAAAGAGAAATGTACAGATCGTTTGTCTACAAGGCGCATGTTACATCAGCATGAACACTCAAGGTCGAACAGAGGGGGAGGGGGGAACAGAAAACTCACGGTCCCAGTCTCAGAAAACTCGGCACCCAACCCTTAAACATCCACCGCATTCCCTCCTTAGCGTACACCTCGCGCAGCACGCCCACCACACCAACATCACCACCCGTCGCCGACATGACCCTCGTCTTAATGACGTCGATCGGGCTCGTCACAGTGGCAGCGACCACACCGGCGAGGAAACTCGCACTAAAATGCGTCGCCAGGTTGTCCTGCATGGGGGTCAGGCGCAGCATGGTGCGCTTGAAGACGTCGTAGCTGGCCAGCTGGCTGGCGGTCATGGCAGCGGCGCGCGCGCTGTTGGGCCAGACGCCGCGGAACAGGCTGGCGGCGCCTTCCTCGCGCACCATGCGCACCAGGCCGTCGCCGGCGTGGGCGTAGTTGCGCCGCTGGCCCGCGGGCAGCGCCGCGTCGTGCTGCATGCGCACGTTGAGCACGTCGGCCGCGTTGCCGGGCGATGCCGCCGATGAAGCCCGAGGTGGATGGCCATGGCGATCAGGAGGGGTAGCGAGGGGGGCTTGGGCTTGCCCGTGGTGGGGTCCGTCTTTTTGGAGTCTGAAGCGCGACTTCATTTCCTCGTAGATGCCGAACCGTGTGGTGGAGTAGGTGATTTGCCGGAGGAGGGAGGCTCGACAGGCCGTTGTAGAGGTCCGCGGATGCCGTTGTGCTTGACGATGTGCACAAAGGTGCCGCTCATCGACTTGGGCATGTCGCCCGTCCGGGTTTGGAGGCGCACCTAGGGGTGGGTTGGTCAATTATCATTATGTTGAAGCGGCGCCGGGGGTTCGTACCTTGACTAGGGGGCTGGGTTAGTCTTTTATATCAGGAGCGTTTGCACTCTGGATCGTGGGCTTGCTTAAACTTACCTAGGTCTAGGGGATGTGTTACGCAGGCGGCCATACTACTAGCGCTGCCACCGAACCAGAAGGGGTAATGCACCGGCCGAACTCTTGCCGGCGAGGGTGTGGCCGCCCTGTCCCCATCCCTCTTTTCCATCACCGTGGTCGAGGGCACCACCGCGGGGCGTCCTTCACTCTTGGCTGACTGCATTTTGCCCTGCGGTATCCATACAGAAAATAAGAGGCTACAAAAGCATTCCGGTTTTTATTAGGCGGGGAAAGCGGCCAAAAATAACTCAAATGAAAGGCAGAATATCACAAGCGAATGGCAGTCCTTATGATATTGAAACAACGCTGGCTGCAACCAAAAAGCTCGACGAACTCATCGCGAAGATAAAAGTAAGATGCAAAGATACGCTATCGGAGTTGGTTCGGCAGCCACGGCAAAGTAAAATCTAAGGGTTTTTCTTTTCGAACTGGACCGTGCAGGCTGGCTACGTCAGTTTCAAGCCCGCCAAGCCTATGGATCTCAGGGGCAGGGGTCGCCGTCTCTTCGCTGGAAAGCGGGACCGGCGCCAGATACAGGGTTAGGGTTGACCATGATTATTTACAAATGTACCTGGTCAAGCTGATGTTAGGTTTCGCCGAGAACGCTTCACCCTTCTCTCCGTTCCCAAGTATTTGTTGGAGACAACCGAGTCCATTGCTCGTACGAGGCTGGCGCACCTGAGGACCTCGGCGACACTCTGGCTGCCTCTCAAGAACCCTTCGCCCTGGGACGCATTGGCCAATCAAGATCCCAGGGCCGCAGCGAATGGCACAGATGCCCGATCCCGAGTCCTTGGCGAGGATGCCCCACCCAACTTTTTCGAGCTGCCTCCCGGAGGGACCTCGACCGAGCCCTTCGAGGAGCGATCCTGTTCCCCACCATCAGGCCTCCAGGAGCCGCAAGCCGAACTTCAACATGGTCGGACCACGGGGAATTGCGAGTGCCCTGTGGCCTCGCCTTGGGAGTCGGTCCAGTATCGCGCTGCCTGTTCGACGAAGCAGTCCGTTAACTAGTCTGTCAACACGGTGCTGGCGGGCAGCCTACTACTCTTCAGGTTAGAATAAAAAACAGAAACATGCACCTCCCTCCGTGGATCAGTCTTGCTGATAGAGACCTTGCGAAAAGAAGCCGCAACTTCCCCTGCAAATGTGACGACGAACCCAAAAACTGTCGAGATCAACGGCCAGAAATATGCGACGGATTCTTGGTTCAATGTCTCCTCCACCGTCCTGTCGTTGATCTCGCGAAAACTACACCTCCAGAAAGACCACCCTGTGGTCATCACACGTAAAATCCATCGAATCCGTCTTCCCCCGCCCGACCTACAAGTACTATAATGAGTTCGACCCGGTCGTCTCGACGTACGAGAACTTCGACTCGCTGGGCTTCCCCCCGGACCACCCCGGCCGCGCCCGCACCGACACCTACTACATCAACAAGGACACCCTCCTACGAACCCACACCAGCGCGCACGAGGCCGGAGCTCTTCCGGGCGAGCGCGAGCGGCGGGTACCTTGCTCAGCGCCGACGTCTACCGCCGCGACGAGGTCGACCGCAGCCACTACCCGGTCTTCCACCAGATGGAGGGTGCGCGCGTGTGGGACCGCACCAAGGTGCCCAACGGGGACCTGGCCGCCGCCGTGCTCGCCGACCTCGACCAGCTCCCCAAGCACAACATGAAAGTCGAGGACCCCAACCCGCCCTTCCACCCGGAACGCAACCCCCTCCAGGCGGAGCACCACACCCCGGCCGAGGCAGCCGCCGTCGCAGCCCACCTCAAACGCTCCCTCGAGCTCATGGTCAATGAGATTCTTCACGCGCGCCAAAAGCCGCCGCCGCCGCCACCCTCCTCAACCAACCCCACCACCCGCCCCCGGACCCCACCGCCAGCCGCTGCCGCCGAACGAACCCCTCCGCGTGCGCTGGGTCGAGGCCTACCTTCCCCTTCACGTCCCCCCTCGTGGGAGCTCGAGGTGTTCTACCAGGGTGAACTGGGCTCAGAGGTGCGTGGGGTGTGGGGTGTCGCAGCAGGCGCTGCACGCCAACGCGGGGCGCCCGTCCCAGATGGGCTGGGCGTTTGGCATCGGCCTGGAGCGCATCGCCATGCTGCTGTTCCGCGTCCCGGATATCCGCCTGTTTTGGTCGCGGGATGAGCGGTTCCTGGCGCAGTTTCAGGGGCTGGAGGATGCCGGGTTGGAGGGTTTGAGGCTGTTTGTGCCGTTTAGTAAGTACCCGGCTTGTTATAAGGATGTGTCGTTTTGGTTGGGGGGTGGTGGTGGTACTGGTGGTGAAGGGGGGGCGGAGTGGCATGAGAATGATTTGATGGAGGTGGTGAGGGATGCGGCGGGGGATTGTGTTGAGGATGTGAGTCTGGTGGATGAGTTCACGCATCCGAAGACGGGCCGGAGGAGTATGTGTTATCGGATCAATTATCGGAGTCTGGAGAAGACGTTGACGAACACGGAGACGAATGAGATGCATGATAGGGTGGTTAAGGGGTTGGTGGGGAGGTTAGGGGTCGAGATTAGGTAGTTGTCGGGGTGGAGGTCTGCAGGCAGCGGCTGTCATAGCTAGTTGTCACGACGAGTTGCCTCGATTGCTCATCACGGCTGGTCGTCTCGACTGGCTATCACGGCTGGTTGTCATGGGTAGTTGTCATGGCTGGTTGGCTCGGATCATCTCATCTCCTCACCGCTGCAACCGTTCCAGCGTCGAGAGGAGGTGGCATTGTCATGGACAAACGGTCGGCCGGACATCAAAACAGAAAGGGCACAAAATCTGGCCCGTCCCGCAACGGCCGGCTGTCTGCTCAGCCACGCCCGGTGAGACGCTGATGAGGGGATCTCTCACCTTCCCCTCCTCTCCCCTCAAAAACCGGGCTATCTTATGGGCCTCTGTAACCGGAAGGGGTCTTGCCGCTGTATGTTGGGACTGTATTATACTGTACGCTGGACAATAGGTAGACATGGATAGACGGCGATGTATGATATCAGACCCTTGCTCCGGCCGCTCACCTCGTCAATAGACTACCGGGCAGTGCAAAAGTTGTGGAGCCGCAAGTGAGGGGTCCGGGTTTTGGATGACTAGCAGGTCAGCCTCTTACGGGCGGTCACGTCGGGTTATCAGATGGGCTCCCTTGGCAGATTTCGGCGGGCGGATGATCGTTCCTTGGTGTCGTGGATGGCCGTTGCGGTGAGAAGGCGGCGCAGACGGAGATGGCTGGGTTTGTTGGCACTGCCGGGCATCATATCGGCCACCCAATTTGTGAGACAAAGCACCAGGTCGGGAAGATGATAATCCTCGTGGGGTCGCTGATTCCACAGGCCCAGCAGCATTGCAGGGCGAACTTGCTCGTCGCCAAGTCTGACGATGGCGTTGCTCTCGGTGCCACGAGTTCGACATCTGCTGTGCCTCCCTGCCACGTTTTCGCCGTTGCTTACCATCAGGGAGCTCCAAGCTTATCCGTTCGTTAGACTTGACTATCAATTACCTTATTTCTCTCTAGTGCAGCACTGCAGGGCAGGTCAACGGACGGCTATTCTGCTCTTCCGTCGACCTTCCTTGGCGTACATCAGGAGTTACATGCGTTGCATCGGGAGCAGGTTGTAAGAGGCAGGTGAAAGGCCGGTCACTAACCGCCCCGTCTCCGTCTAAAGGGTTTTTTTTTTTTCGGAAGCTTAACTAATTCGGCAGGTCTTCGACCCTCTCTTGCGAGGTATCCGGCGCCCCTTTAAGTTCTGCCGTCTCGCCGTGTCTGACCCGTGAAATTGGTGGTGGCGTGGAAGGCTGAGCAGTGCCATAACATGTGGACACCGAGGCATGACAAAAGTGCCCTGCTCGCCTGAAGAGGCTCAGGAATGTATTCTGTTGAGATGGCGTATTCGGGATGGCAGTGACAACAAGCTCCGTAATTTCGGATCCAGACCGGGAGCCTCACTGCGGTTTTGGGCGGAGGCCGTTACAGGAATGCGAGGTTGAGACGGGGCCGCCAGTTGGCGACGGATGAAGACCCTGATCCTCATGGCTTTGTCTGCTGCTTGTCTGTCAGTGCTGCTGGTCCCCGTCGTCTCGTTGTGTCCCAACGATCGGTCAATGAGGCTGTGCAAGTCGGAAAGAGCGGGCAGCGAATCAGACAACGGAGGGCGCCCATTTTTCGAGCGTCGCAAACGGACATTTTGCCGAGAGATCCACCCTTGCAATCGCTCCACTTGTAACCCTCCATGCCCTCTTGAGGCTCTTGGCTGCCATTGTTCGAGTTCGGTGGCAACAAGCGCTGGGGAATTTCACAATCGAGAATCTCGCAGCCAACCGCTTCTTGGCCAGGCACAGCAGGATCAAGCAGGAAAGAGAGGCTTTGCAAATTAGGGAGGCAAGTTGAACGCGCAAACTTTTCGGTCGAAGCCACGTTCTGTACAGGGAGCCCAGCAGGTCAGTGCTAAGTGGTCCCGTCTCAGCGACAACTCCGCCTCCTCATCCAACCAGCGGCGGCTTTGCGGCTTGTCAAAACGGCCCGTGATCGACCCGGGGGTTGCTGCATGCATCCAACGCTGCAGCAGAACATCCGCCAACTCAACTTATAAATCCATCCCGCCGCACCGGATTCCTTCCGTTTGTTCCATTGTCTGCATCTTGACACTGCTCCTCCAACAAAGCCTAAAGCTTCAAAGACACTACCTAACGGTCAACAAAAGAGGCCTCTGAAATAAATACGTTAAATACAATCACGCAACACACACATCATTAGCGGGCTCCATCGCCACGCACATCATCTACATCACCCGCTGTCAATCCGACCAACTCGTTCGCATATCCGCCGAAATGGAGCAACAACTACAGAGGGATCTGCCTTTCCGGGCAGCGCAGCATACCGAAGAACAACAATTGTCACCACAACTTCCGCCGTCGCCCACTCGCTCTTCGACGGGCAGCAGCACCCGGTCGCGCAAGTCGACGCTAACCCTTGACCTCGCCAACCTCCCCCCGCTGATCAAGCCAACACCACCCTGCAACACGCTGATCTTCACCAACCTCCAATCGCGTGACATCTTCTCTCCGGACAACCTCCAGCAGATTCGTGACCTCATCGAGAAAATCGCCCGCATTCACGCCTTTTCCCCGCTGAAATCTCTCAGCCGCATTATTGTCTCGTTCTACAGCGTTAAGGACGCCGTTGCAGTGCGCGAGATCTGGGACGGCGAGCCCATTATGGGCGACCGTTGCCGTGTATACTTCGGCCAGCCGACGCCGCTCACGACACAACCACACAAATTGGCGCTGCCTGACGCGGGCAAGCTCTTCTTCATCTCTCCCCCCCCTAGCCCGCCGCACGGATGGGAACAGACAATGGAGGACGCACCCAACAAGATGGTGCACGCCGACGACCTAGCCGAAGCGCTGGCCCGGCTGAGGCACCACAACAATCCCAACGGCTCCGAATTGGCCAGCGCTATGGCGATGGGGTCGCCCGTGTCGCCAGTCGAGAGCAGTCGGGGCCCGCAGCGGAGCCGCAGCTCGACCCTGGTATTCCAACCGAACCCGGAGCTGGGCGCGAGCCCGGACCTGCCGTGTGTTATTATTCATGACATGACGGATGAGCCCGAGGACATGAGCCCGATTGCGCCCCCGGCGAGCAAGCCGATCATGGCGCATACTTCCCGGCCGCCGGTCGAGTTGATGCACGATGCTTAAACAAAAGGGAACGCGTTGTTTCATGTTTCTATTCTTGTTTTATTTCTTACCATTGCTTTTTTTTGCGGGTGTACCTTTGTTATTACTCCGTTTCGGTATGACGGGACATTGATTGGGTTTTGGGTTCAGAGAACGGATGTGTGGCGTTGGGATCTCAGGGTGTGTGCGACAGGAGGCATTGTCGCAGACAAGTATTACTGGATTCGTGGGGCAGTTTCGGAGTTGCGCGGTCACACAAAAACATTGTCATGGTGCATTGTACAACGGTTTAGAGCAGATCAATTAGCTCGATCTACTTTCGCAATAAAATTGTTGCAGCATATCTTCATCCCAGATGTGACAGAGTCCGGGCCCCAATCTCGCCCACATCCCGTCGGAATCAAGAGCTAGGTACTGTGCAATGCTCAACTCGCCGACGTTTCACATCCTTCTTCCTCGGATCTCGAACTTATAACGACCCCACAGGAGGCTGGGATCTGCCTGGACCACACCCACCGGGTAGCTCACCGCAGGTTCTGTAACAGCATCGATCCTCGTCTTGTAACCCACAGCCACACGATGCACCCCGAAACTGCCCCCTCGCGATGTCCAACACCGCCCCGGGGAGATTCGGCCTCTCGGACTGCCTACCGAACAGCAGGAGGCAGCTAGATCACTAGCATAGTTCTCCTCTTGTTACCCCACCTAACCTACCTCAACGGCTGTGCTCGCTCCCCAATCTTGGCCACCCTTCGCGGCCGGCGGAGAAGTGCCACATGACGCCGTTTGTAATAAAACGGACTGTTCACAATGTCTATAAGTTATGTAGCAAGGTAGAATGAGCCCTCATGTGCGGGTGGATGGCAGGCAGCCCGGGCAGGATGGCTCGACAGGAGGCCGGGGGCTCAAAAATAGTACGCTGGGGTTGGCGTTCTTTAGCCCGATCTCTGTGATAATCACGGACCTGGCCTGCTTCACATTGACTGTCGTCGTCGTCATCATGGAGCCTTGAATCGGGTATGTTGAGGACTGGGTTCTAATTAGTTCCTAGCTATAGGATAATCAACGGCAATTCTGAAGTAGGGATTCTGGACCAAGTCCGTGAGCCCAGTGAGTGACTTGCACTTGGTATATGGGTTGCGGTGCGAACACAAGGTATCAATCACAAGGTTTGATGGTGTGGGCGGGAGCTGTGGCCCATGGGAACGGATCGGGTTGGTGGGTCTGTCTGCGTCAGGCCGGCACATGGCTCCACTCGCCGGACTAGGGTCTTGTAAATTTTCAGAGACGGCAACATTTCGTTTACTTCCTTTGCAACAACTTGCCCGCCAGCCTCTACCCAACCGATTTATTTTGCTTTCTTGGTTTTTATACGATGGATTGCTCCTGCCGTATAACAGCTTTGAAGATTTTTGTCAGGACCATCGCGCAAATCCACGTCCCTCTCCGTACTACGACACCACGTGCCACCCAATATCGAGCTCTCTCAACTCAGCCCAACCGGGCATGCACTCAACAGACAAGCTCCATACTTGCCACCACACCTCGAGCGTTGCACACGTCATGCGCGAGGGACAGGGACTGGCAGGCGCCGAAGCCTTTCAAAAGAAGAGGTGGAGGGCGGAGTGTCCAAAACAACCCACTAGCGAGCTCCCACGCATCCGAACCGGTAGCCAACGATCCTTTCAGACACCTATCCCAGAATGACTATGCCAGGCCAACGGCAAGGCCTCAGGCATACAGGTCGAAGACAGGCGACTCCGGTGGCCGTGAACAGCGGTACAAACCGGCGGGAGGTGCCAGGAAACCGAGGCGGCCCAACCCGGAATCGAATACTCAGGGTGGCAACTGGGCTGAACCCAAAACCAAAGAACCCTGGAGGATCCAGAAGGAGGCCCTGGCAAAAAAGTTCCCTGAAGGCTGGAAGCCGCGCAAGAAGCTGTCGCCCGACGCCCTAGTCGGCATCCGGATGCTGCACCAACAGTTCCCCGATGAGTACACGACCGAGACGCTGGCGCAAAAGTTCGAGGTGTCGCCCGAGGCGATCCGTAGGATCCTGAAGGCGAAATGGGTGGCGGACCCCGAGACGGAGGTCGAGCGGCAAGCGCGGTGGCACAACCGCGGCAAGCAGGTCTGGACGAAATGGGCGGCGCTGGGCAAGAAACCGCCCAGGAAGTGGCGCGCCGAGGGCATCGTCCGCGACCCCATATGGAACGAGCCGAGGGGTCCGAACCACAAAGACAAGGCGGCTCGTGCTGAAGCGCAGCGGAGGGAGGCGCAACGGAGGCTTGCGAGTGGGATGATGGGATGAATAGTCACGACATACGACACACGGGGAGGGGATGGTTGGCTTGTAAATGGCAAAGGCCGCAACCACCCCGAACGCATAACCAACCCACGGCGCTGATAGCTGTGTGTTAATATTGTATTATTGTACTATTAGACGGGGGTGTACGAATTACGATGTATGAGAGAGTGCGTGCCTCCTATGGCCGCCATGTCTCAGGGAGTTCTGCCGAGAATGGCTGTCCCTCAGTCAATCAATTCGGTATCACCGAGGCGACCAACCCGCCTTAGCTAAAATCGACGTCTCGTCGGTCCTTCTCGTGATTTGTTATGATTCTCTCATAAGACATCTAAAAGCTTGTCAACGTGGTCCGAGCCCCTCGTGCGGTCCCGAGTGACAGATATTCCTTGTCCGGTACTCGAGCTGCTCGGTTAGGGGTGTCATCTCGCTGGCTGCAGGCTCGGCCCGCACTAATGCAACCTCGCGGCTCATCACATTGGTGTGGGAAATGGCATCGGGACCTGGCTCCTTTCGCCACGATGGGCCACCATGTGGCTGCGAATTTGTGTCTGTCTCCAGCTGGGCCGCGGTGTTTCCACTGAATGCCTAATGTACACAGTACCTTGGGATTCACCGTGGCTTGAGTGGTACAGATGGACCAGGTGGTGGGAGGTTGTCCGGATCTTCCTTTTTTCTTTCCTCTTGTTTTTTTTGGTCGGAACCACTGAGCATCCAGAAAACTGGCTAGCCCCACTGATAGTCGTCCCAAATGGGAAACAAGCTGGCGCAAATCTGATGGTGGACGCACGGGCCATATTTTCTACACAGTACCACAAGCTCTCCCCTGCACAACCAGCCTGACCCACAACACAAGCCCAGGAGAACAGGGCCCAACAAAAGGCCTGGGACGAGGCTTGCCGGAGATCGCAGCTGGGCACCGGGGGTTTGGTGTTTTTTCTTCACCATCCTAGATTCAACGGCGTTTTCGCGACGCCTCCACGCAAATGTCGTGCACCGAATCTAAACCCTAATCGACATCGGCGCCGGGGCAATTGAGTTTGTCTCGCTGCACGATCTTCATGTCACTGTAAGCTCCGAAGTTGTTTCCGTGCCCAACGACTGCATCGCTATGAGATACCCGGCGCCTCCTGCATGGCCATGCATCGGGCGCTTCCTGACCCGCAGATGCTGATTCTGTGCGTCTGTACCTGTAGCTTTCAAACCGCCGTTCTGCCTCCATCATTCTTTTGAGCAGCTTCGCGCGAGACACACACATTCCAGACTCGATTCGATTCTTTCTTTCCTTTGCTGCGCTCCTTCTGCCTCCAGTTAACTACTACTACTACCTCGTCACGGTCACACACCGACTCTTTCCCCGCCGATTATATGCTCCGACGCCCTCGTTCAGCCCTTCGATTCACTCTCCGTCCCCGCTTTTTGGGTTGTTCTGATCAGTCAGTCCATGGCGAAGAGCGATGGCATCCACTCCCTCAAACCGGACTAAGCCTACACCGTCCAACTCCCCGTTTGTCTCACGCCCCTCCCGGTCTTCTATTCGACCCCGAGCCTACTACGACTCCTGCCTCTCCCTGCAGCGTGTGGTCGGTACCACCTGCGGCTCGCCCACCGGCTTCGACACGGTCCACTCGTCCTTCGCATACCTCGCCGGCGGCGCCGTGGTCGTGGTAGATGTCTCCGGCGAGCACTATGCGCAGCGCTTCTACCGAGCACGCCCCACCGCCGTTCCCCTCCTCAGCGTCTCCCCCACCACAAACAATTCGTCCACGCCGATCTCTACACCAAAAGCCAACGATAGCAGAAATAGAGCTGCTGCTTCTTCTCCCAGAGACTCCCTCTATGCTGAGTGGCCCGACTCGCCGACCTCCAAGACCTGGACGAGCCGCGAACGGATCAAGGCTGCGACCTGCCTGGCCCTCAGCCGAGATGGACGGTACCTAGCCGTGGGTGAAACGGGCTATGCCCCGCGTGTGCTCTTGTTCAACCTACAAGATGCCTCTTCCGACGTACCCCTGGTGTCCATCAGCGAACACACCTTCGGGGTCAAGGCTGTGGCTTGGTCTCCCGACACAAAGTACCTGGCGTCGCTAGGGGCAGCAAATGACGGGTTTCTCTACCTGTGGAAGGTCGACTCCCGGACCGGCGCGGTGAAGCTGTTTCAACAGAACAGATGCACCGCGTCCGTGAAGGAGATGGTGTGGATGGGCAACAATGTCATCACGCTCGGTGTCCGCCATGTCAAGGTGTGGAGGGTTGAGGAAGGGCTGGATGTAACGCCCGTGAAAACGAAATTCTCGAACGAAGGAGCGACCCCCGCTCCTCTGCCGGCTCAGAAGCCGTTGCCGGGCAGAAACATTCTGCTCGGGGCGATGCTGGACGAAACATTTTCCTGTGCGCTCTCGATATCAGACGAAAAGACTATCATCTGCTCCGAAACGGGTTGTGTCTGCTTGCTCGATGATACCAACAAGCAAATGAAGCTGTCGAAGGCGGTAGAGGTCGATTTCAGCGTCACCTGCGTCTCTCGCCGAGGAGAAGATATCCACGTCGGAGGAAGAGAAGGTCAGCTTGCCATTATAAGCCTTGATGATATATTGAGCGGCTGCTCCGAACCGACCATCCGTACTTCGGCAATGGCGGCCGGTCTCGTAGCCATGGGCTTTTTGGCAGAGAACCTTGTCACCATCGACACCAGGCGATCGATCGATATCTGGAGTGCGGACTATACGCCCGGCAATTCCCTGGGCGAGAAATCACACATTCCTATCCCGGGCCTCGGCGATCCAATCGTTGGGGTACAGCCGTTATCCGCATCAAACACCCTTGACGCCAGTTTCTTTACGTGGTCCGGACTCGGCAGGGTGACCATTGGAATCTGGGCGGCATCATAAAGTCGTCTTTTGACATACCAATCGAACAGGTGGACACAAGCGCCGAGTCCGGTCCCGCCAATCAAGTCGTTGTGGTGAGAGCCACGAACGACGGGTCCTTCTTCATAGCCGGAGACAAGTTGGGCGTCCTCCGGATTGTTGAGGTTTCCACCGGAGAGTGTTTGCTGGAAACAAAGGCACACTCTTCTAATTGCCAGGACATCACTGTCCACGAAGGCAAATCTAGATTCCTCGTGGCCTCCTGCGGCCGAGACCGAACCGTTCAGCTGTTCCACCGCTCATCCGCAGGGGTGTTCGAGCACTTCCAGACGCTCGAGTTCAGCGCCAAAGTGGTCCAGGTACTAGTACCGAACGAGGACAAGGTCCTGACGTGCTCCCTCGACCGGACTCTCCAAATCCACGACCTGGTGAGCAAGGAGGGCGAACCCGACGTCTTGGCAGCCATTCCGTTCAAATCGGTCTCCTTGAAGGCATCTCCGTCCGCAATGGCCGTGACAACCGACGAGAAGGCCGTGTTTGTGTCTCTGCTGGATCGTTCTGTATGCCAGTACGACTTCGGTAACGGGCGGGTTCTCGGCACGTTCAAGTGCAATGACGAATCCGGGCTCGACTCGGTCGTGCTAGAGTCATTGACCCATAGTCAGCCCGGGTCCAATGACCCCCCTTTCCTTCTCGGCATTTCCAACACGGACAAATCCGTGCGAGTCTATGACACCCAAGCAGGCTGTTTCATGGACCGCGAATGGGGCCATACCGAAGCCATCAACGGCGCCGTCCTCATCGACGGCGAAGAATCCGGCCGTAAGGTCGTCAGTGTAGGCGAAGATGGTACAATCATGATATGGGGCCTCGACTTTGACGACTCAAGCAACGGATCACAAAGTCGCGACCCGTCTCCAGAAAAGGCTCCCCAGCCGGCCTCTACCCGGCCGCCGTTACGGCGAGTTCTTTCCAAAGCGGAACTGGCCGAATTCCAACGCCCAACTTCATCCGCCGGGCCCCCTAGCTCAAGTACAGGACGGCGTTCCCCTCCCCGACCCTCACATCGCCGTCCCGCCAAATTTCAGCTCCCTTTCTCGTCCCTCCGGACCCCGAACAACAACAATAACAGCAACAGTAACAACAACAGCACCCCCGAAAAGCAAGCGACCTCTCCTACCAACACCACCAGCATGATCATCATAGACGACACCCACGCCCGCACTCCGTCCCGGCGACCGTCTTCCGGCGCCGGCTCCCGCTGCTCCGACGACAGCCCACCGCCCGAAAGTCCCAAGACCCGCTCCAAAATGTTCCGCCGCCCATCCCTTCCCGCCCTAGGAGCAACCCCACTATCCACGTCCAAGTCCCGCAAAAACTCCAGCTCAAACCAGCGCGGTAGCGGTGGAGGCGGTGGCGGCGGCGGCGGTGGCAGTGGTGGCGGGAATGGATACGGGTTCGGGACCCTCAGCATGGCGACGGAACAGACCTGCCGGCAGCTGCGCGCGTACCGCAGGAAGCTGGCATCGGCCGACTCCATCCACGGGGACGTGCTGGCGCAGCTGGATGCCGAGCTGCGGTTGACGGCGGCTGCGCTAGGGGAACGGGCCATCAGGAGCCGCACGGGGAGCGGACATGGCAGCGGTAATAGCCATCGAGGACACGGTGATCGGCGGGGCGATTCTGGAGGCGGGAGCCAAGGTGACGCCAGCAGCGGCAAGGTCAGCGAAACGATACTCAGCGGCCTGCTGGACCAGTACAGCGAGCGGCTGGTCAGCATGCTCGACGAGAAGCTTCGCCTGAGGCTGAGCGAGGAGGAGAAGGACTCCCTGGCGGCGGCGAGGGAGCGCCCGCGCACCGCCGGGGAGGGGTCCAACGCCTCCTTTTCTGGGGGGAGTATCAGTGGAGGCCCCGTTTGTGATGAGCCCGAGTCTGTGTGAGAACAGATGGAGGCGGAGGCGGAGGCCGCGGCGGTCGGCAGGGCTGCGGCTATATAATACTTAATTTCGCTCGCGCGGGATGAGTCGCGGCGGCATCGAGGCGATGGATACCCCCTTTTTTTCTGCGGGTCTTCGCTTCTCTCATTCTTTTTTTTTTGTTTACTGTACCCATATCCTATCACACTGCACACATTCTGGCGGCGGCGCGGGTTTTTTTTTTTTTTTTTTACTCTCTTTGCATCCCCTCCTTATTTTCCCTATCTCACTCTCTTTTTTATACTATACTTTCTGCTAGTACAAGGTTGGGACAAGACAAAGACAGGCGCGTCTAGGGCGGCGGTGGATAGGCGTTTCTGGACTGGACCGGACCGGATTGGACTGGGCTGGGTTGAGCTGCGGCTGAGCTGGATAGGGCTTCGCTCGCTTTCTTTTCCCGGTGGGTGGGTGGCTGGGTGGGTGGCATGCGCTTGGTTGAATGGATCGATCCATGGATGGATGGATGGATGGGTCGTGGTGGCTCGCACTAGAGGATTGGAATTCATCCGGGGGTTTGTTTAGAGGCTCAGAATTAGACGCGCGTGGGGGGGTTGGATTGGTGGATACCAAGTGGATGGGTGGGATAGGCGGTGAATTGAAGACACCTACGTTTGATCGGGTTTTGTGGATGGGTGTGCTTGCTGTGAAGTGAGGAGTGGGTGCGCTTGCTTTGACCTGGGGGTGTCCTTCTTGAGGTGTGTCGAGGATTAGGTTGAGGATTGTGCTGCCGTAGGTTGGATTGTGCTGCCGTAGGTTGGATTGTGCTGCCGTAGGTTGGATTGTGCTGCCGCAGGTTGCACCCTGTCCATCCACCTAGCTTGAGGTCTGACTCTGCTGCTCTGAGAGGTTCGGAGAGCAATCCATGTGGCTGTATAAGCTAAGTGCGACCCCTTTGGCCCTCTGTGTCCGTTTGTCCCAGTCCCTGAAGAAGGTTAAGAACTCCAGCATGTTGGAAAAGCACATAGGAGCGTTGAAGAGTATTCTACTTCTATACATTCGCCCCTGCTCTCAACATGTCCCTAATCCAGGGGTTCTACGACAGGAACAGCCACGTTGACATGACACCTAGGAACCTGAAGTTCTGAAACAAGAGCTCCCAGCAGCCCGTGTGCTCATATTGTATGAGCAGAGCCGCTGCCTGGATGCTAACTAACAACTGGTCCAGTGATCTTTTTTTCGTCGGATTATGAACAGTCTATTTCAAACAATTTCCAGAGCCCCCAGTGTCGTGCACTACCGCATTCTAAAAACAGAAATGGTAGAATTGTATACCTAACCAACCGGGTGGCCACAGACGGTGAGAAATATGGTTACAATCATAATTCATGTTGGACCGGCCTATCGCTGCCAACTCTACTACCCTCCCAATGCTGGAGTATTAACACCCCCACTATATTGTAAATGGGCTGTTCATAACGCTTCGTAGCAGGATGCAAAAAATAAACAAAACAATAATCGTAATACCTCTGAAAAGT